AGGTCCTGCTGAACCTGCACCTAGTGAAAAGGAAAACTACTATGTCTGCTGCAATACACTGATACCTTGATTAGTGAATTCCTGGAGAAAAGAACTCATGTATAAGAAACAGGAGAGTCCACTCATTTGTTTTCATTTGTTAAAAAATACCCTTATTCTGTGAAGCAGAATTACCTGTATTTGCAGCTGCATGACAAAAATGCCTCAATATAAAGTTCCCTCCAACCCCACCCTGCCCCGGCCCATTGGCTATTTTAAGGTAAGTTGGGAATATATTTAGGCTGAGTTAGGATGTAAATATGAAATAGCCTGGTTCCTCAGATGTGAGGCACAGATAGGCACATTACATACTTTGGTAGCACAGAGGAAGGTACCAGGCATGATGTCATGGCAAGGGAGATTTCCTGGAAGAATGATGCCTGGCCAGTCTAACAGAGGCGCTAAGATCCTAAGCACTAGTTCTACTGCCAACAAGCCATGTGGTTTGGGGCTAGTTTCTTAACTTCCCTAAACACCAGCTGGTTCACTTGCAATGAGGGTGATAATATTTGCTCACAGTTTTGTATCCCTTGGCTTTCAGGAAATTGCACGATTCTCTTTCCTTTCTACTACCTTCTCCTTTCCCTTTCTCTGTCATTCGTACCTTCTAATGTGGGGCTCCTCAAGTCTCACACCTTGGGCTTCTCTGTTTGTATTTCCACATCCTCCCTTGGTTCAAACCTTGCCTGCAGTCACTTCTCCACCCACTCCACCTCCATCTTGCCTCCATTTCAATCGCATGCTGGATGTTTCCATGTAGACACTCTGCCAAGGCATTTAAAATTCAACAAGTGTAAAGCTGAATTTGTTGTTCTCTCCCTAAATTACCTCCTGGCTCTGGAATGGATAGTTCTTTTAAATAGGGCTGCTAATCTCACAAACTCCAAACTTCCGAGTCATCTGTAACATCTTTTTCCCCACTGCTCCTTATCGAGTCAGTTGCCAAATTCTGTGGGTTACTTTGAAACTTGTTTGGTCAGAGCAGGAATGGAAATTCAAAAGTCTATAATAATTGTGTCAGGAGTTTTATAGAGCAACAGGACTGGGACTCCTTAATATAGATGTATTATTTTAAAACTAAAAGACATTTTTGTTCTCTAAGCCTAAACACCTGAACTGTTGTAGTTAAACTGGATCTTAGCTTACACAGTCATTCTCATTTCAGCATCTTAGATGCAAATTCCAAATTACCCAGGTGCTTCCTCCTTACAACTGTCAACAGTTCTTTAATGCTTCTGAATGGTATAAAAGGCACAGGCCTTACCTTTAAGGCTCCCTCAAATCTCTTTCCAGCCTCTCTCACCCTCTTCTTCCATTGCCTCAATTCAGTTCTCCATACTCTCTGTAAACTAAACTCCTTACTACTCTTGGAATCAACAGGCCTTTTCCTGACCCCAAACATTTGTTCATATCTCTTTTCCTATTTTTGCCCTATTGCATTGACACTTGTCATATTTAGTTGAATCATTGGGCCTTTAGCCTCCCCACCCCAATTACCACACTCCCTTCTCTCCTTTCTGAAGTCCCATACCACTTTGGTTGTGATATTTGTAAAGCATTTATCATGGAAAACCTCCCTACTAGATTATAGATTCTCAAACACAAGTATGGACACTTAGTGGGCTTCTGTGTGCTAAGGAAGTTTATTAAACAGTCTTTGATTTAGTCATTGTATGGTTCCTGGGACAAGAGTAAGAGCCGTGGTCCCTTGCTCTGTCAAAATCTTAAACCTATTTTCTTTGTATTTTGGCCTAATTACATAAGCTTGTTTTGGATTGGAAGCTCTGTAGAGACTATTTTAGTGCCAAATGCTTTTTAATCAATGCGGAAAGAAGCCCTTGAGACGTGCAGTGACTCAGCGGAGGACACACAGCTAGTTTCTGGTAGATAAGTATGAAGCCTCGGAACTACTGCTCATATCATGAGCCCCTGGGTTCCCAAATCACCTCCCCAAGAACCTCAGTCATTGTCCTCTGCACACAAGAAACTTTTGCTGATTCCAGTAAAAAGAATGCAGTATGGTAGGACAGACGTATAGGTTTTGAAATCAAACTAGGTTTAGATTCTGACCTAGTCGCTAGTTAGTGCATGGACTTTGGTAAACAGCCTCTCAGCCTGTTTCCTTGTCTGCAAAATATGGATAGTTATCTTCACTTCATGAAGTTGTGCTGATGAAATGGTATAATGTGTATAAAGCAACTGGAACACAACAAATGAGGCCATTTATTTAAAATAATCTTTAGTAAGTTATAAATTAACATATTTGCTTTTTCTGAGGAATGCTTAGATTTTATCATAGATCGCTTTTCTAAGTTGAGTAAATACGTAGTGGATTTCTTTGTTTCCTTCCCCTCAGAATGTTGACATTTGGGTGGTTGTAACTATTACTTAAGACTCCATCCAGTAATTGTTCATAAAATTTCCTTTTTTTTTTATTTTTTATTTTTTTGAGACGGAGTTTTGCTCTCGTTCCCCAGGCTAGAGTGCAATGGCGCAATCTTGACTCGTTGCAACCTCCGTCCCCCAGGTTCAAGTAATTCTCCCGCCTCAGCCTCCTGAGTAGCTGGTATTACAGGCGCATGCCACCACGCCCAGCCAATTTTTGTATTTTTAGTAGAGACGGGGTTTCACCATGTTGGCCAGGCTAGTCTCGAACTCCTGACCTCAGGTGATCCTCCGCTTCGGCCTTCCAAAGTGCTGAGATTACAGGCGTGAGCCACCACGCCCGGACAAAATTTCCTTTTAAAAATAGTTATTGCCAATAACTAAGTATTCTGGAAGGTGAATGCTTAGGACATTTAGTGTCACTAAGTTGTGTGATAGATAATATTTTTGACACTTTGCAGAGCTCATTGTTTTCTCTGCATATAAAGCTATGACATTCACATAATAAACACGTAGAGAGCTTTCATAGACTTCAATGTTAAGTCTTCTGGCAGCTGCATAACTGGTCTTGCTTGACCTGCCTTTTTCACAATGCTACCTTGCCTTTCACACCAATTCTGTAAGCCCAAGCAGGAATGAAGATTACCTATGTATAATGGCACGACACAAGGGAGTGGTGGTGAAGGTTATTGGAGGTTATTGGGGGAATAAATGAAGACCTGTTGCCACTTGTAAACACTGCCAGGCCCTGACATACCTTGTGTTTTTATATCCAATATGGGAGTAAAAGTAAGGTATTTTAACATCAAATATGAGGATGACACTAGATGGTTTTAAAAGCCCCCCACCCTAACTTGGCTAAACTCCACAATGTTTGAGTATTGTTAGGTTTCAATGAAATCCTACAGTAGTCCCTTGCTTGGAATCACTGTAGGACTGGTTCTAGCAATGGGCAACACAGGGTTTGGTTCTATACAGTAAGTATGGGTCAAAGAAAATGCTATGATTGAAAATTGTTTTCCTCCTTATAAAGCTCATACCAACCAGTAAAGAGCTATCAGAAAACCTTCAGGAAAGAATATCATGATAGGATATAACAAATACCCCCACAGCTGGTCCATGGACCAAAGTATAATTCCAAGGAGGGAATTTCACTTAACCAGGCACGGCATTTAAGGGAAAAGGAATCTAGGCTAGGACTCTGCTAGCCAGACCCAGACAAATTATTAAAGGGAAGCACGTTCTTTAGGCTATTCTCTATGAAGAAGGGCAACCCACCTTGCCATCTATATCCTTTCTATTTTTGACAGGGGTGGTCCTAGGCTGGATAGATCTTTACTCTGACCAGTACCATATAGGTCTGTGGTTCTCAAACCTGGCTGCACAGTGTGGCACTTTTAAGTAATCCTGATACCCAGTGCCATCCCCAAAGATGCTGATTTAATTTGTCTAAGGTGTAGTTTGGGCCTCTGGATTGGAACCAACCCATATGCCCATCAATGATAAACTGGATAAATAAAATGTGGCACATATACACCATAGAATACTATGCAGCCATAAAAAAGGATGAGTTTATGTCCTATGCAGGGACATGGATGAAGCTGGAAACCATCAATCTCAGCAAACTAACACAGGAACAGAAAACCAAACACTGCATGTTCTCACTCATAAGTGGGAGTTGAACAATGAGAATACATGGACACAGGGAGGGGAACATCACATACAGGGGCCTGTTGGGGGTGGGGATTAGGGGAGGGATAGCATTAGGAGAAATATCTAATGTAGATGACAGGTTAATGGGTGCAGCAAACCACCATGGCACGTGTATACCTATGTAACAAACCTGCATGTTCTGCACATGTATCCCGGAACTTAAAGTACATATATTTATATATGTATAAATATATATGAATATATATAAATATATGAATATATATATATATGTAAGCTCCCCACATGATTCTAATGTGTGGCCACTCTTGCAAACCTCAGGCTATTTATTCTTAAAGGTTTGTAACAAGCCTTCCTCTTAAAATCTACCCCACCACCATTCAGTTTTTTGGGGTTTGTTTTTGTTACCCTACCTCTTTCCCCCACCCCACACCCCCCCTCCCCCCCGAGGCAGACACACACACACTGATGAATTTCTCTCTACAGTCTGGCTGGAGTAATCCCAAAGTGGTGTCTTTGGTAAATAAGGTGAACCCGGGTGAAGCAAGTGACTCCCACCAGAACAAGGCATGAACAATATTCACTCCCTACTGTGTTCCTCAACCTGTTTTCCTAGCTCTCTGTTGTCACATTAGAGAGTGTTCTAGGAGATAACGCCCTCGCTCCCTAGTTACTTCCCCACCCTCGTGCTGGCCTTTGACAGACCTCGCAGTAGAGGCCCACAACACGGAAAGGGCACCGCGTCTCAATCCCCGAGTCTCAGCCCCCACTCCACCGCACGTGCAGCTCGACTTGGCAGCACTCAAGCGCGGGGATGCTCTGCTTAGACGAACTCACGTTCGGGCAGCAAGGCCTGCGATACTTGAGCACCCCTCCCCCTCTCCCGTTTCCACCCCGTTTGTGTTTACGTAGCGAGGAGATATTTAGGTTTCCAGAAGGCAGGTCATTGCAGGCCCCACCCAGCGGTGGGGAGAGTGAATCCCAGAGGGGGTTGCCAGCGAGTTCCTCCTCCTTCCCCTTCCCGCTATCCCCGAGTCTAGGGCTCCCAGGGGCGTATGACGCCAGCGCCCTCTGACCGCACCTCTGACCACAACAAATCCCTACTCCACCCGTCTTCTTTGTCCCACCCTTGGTGACACAGAACCCCAACCCAGGCCCCGCCCAAAGCACTCATTTAACTGTTATTGCGGAGCCGCGAGGCGCTGCTTCTGCTCGCTGCAACTCGCTCAGGCAGCTGGGCGTAGCTGCGACCCGGCGGAGGAGTCCCGGCGGCGCGTACTTATTCTGACCTCGCGCGCCATGACTGTAGCGCGGCCGAGCATGCCCCCGGCGCTGCCCCTCCTCGGGGAGCTGCCCCGGCTGCTGCTGCTGCTGCTGCTGCTGTGCCTGCCGGCCGTGTGGGGTGAGTGGGGGCCCGGGGGTCAGGGGGCCTGGCGGCCAGGGAAGCCCCTGGGCTGGGTGGGAGATCCAAGTCGGTCTCCGAGACACGCACAGGGACCCGGGACTTGGCAGGTGGGGAGCGTGGCCCGAGGTCTTGGTTCCCGCCGTCCTGTACCTTTAAGGCTGTCGCCGCTCACCAGCATTTGGGGCTCCTGCTGTGTCGGCCCCCAGCTGACTTGGCTTTAGGGGTTGGCGTGGAGGGTTAAAGAGGCCCCGGCTGGGTTTGCGGAGCGGCCAAGCCTGGGAAAATCGAAAGGGAGGGCTCAAAGAGAGCCTTAACCCCCAAAAAGCTGGTCTAAAAGGATGGGAGGCCAGACCGCTGACCGCTGCCCCCTCTCGACAGAGTCCAGCCGTGTAGAGCACACCATGCTGCAAACTTGCATGTCATCTCTTTAAGGTGTGGCAGTTCAAGGGGGCGTGTGTCTTAAAAACAGCAAACTGTGAGGACCCTTGATAGTCATTTCCTTCAGTTCTGCTTTTGTCTCCCTAGCTGACTGTGGCCCTCCCCCAGCTGTACCTAATGCTCAGCCAGCTTTGAAAGGCCTTACAAGTTTTCCCAAGGACACCATAATAACGTACAGATGTGATGAAAACTTTATGAAAATTCCTGGCAAGCAGGACTCAGTGGTCTGCCTTCAGGACAGTCAATGGTCAGATATTGAAGAGTTCTGCAATCGTAAGTTCCTCTTTTTTTTTTTTAGAAAAGTTATGGGAATGAAATGTATCTAAAATTTATTTTTGTGTATCTTTGGAGTGACTAGTAATTGATAGTTTTCTAGTGTTACTAAACCCCAGGGTATACCTCGTTGGCACTTCACACTCCAGCTAATTGAAGACATTTACCTCCCTGAGTAGGTCTTGCTGCTTCATTAAGAGTTTTTCTTCCTAACACTGTACCCCTTGAACGAACTAGTAGAGAAATTAAACAATATTTATTGTTTAGGGAGTAAATATATAAAATATATTTGGCAATTACCTTGAGACACATAGCGTAAGTGATCTGTTTTCTTAAATATTTTGTAAAGTAGGGCTTATCAAATACAACTCTGTGGTGGCATTTTTAAAAGCTCTCAATATTTACTTCAAAATCTGTTATACTTGTACGTATTTATAGGTATTTATAGATCATACAATGTGTCATGATCAATCAGTGTAATTGGGATAGCCAGTACCTCAAACACTTGGCATTTGTGTGGAGAATATTCCAAATCTTCTCTTCTTGCTACTTTGAAAATATATATATATATAAAAATTGGGATATATATAGGGACATATATGTATGTATATATGGAGAGAGATATATATAGGGAGAGAGATATATGTAAATTGGCATATAGATAGGTAGATAGGTTGATTGTTAAAAATGAATAAGAGGCCCAGTGAAGAGTTGTTTTGGGGCTAACACAGTAACCGTGTTTGATATTGATATCTAGTAGAATTAAAAGAAATGAAGATTTCTTGTTTTCGGTGAATATACATACAGTCATCCACACCTCATGTGCCCTTTGGTTTCATAAAATATATATCGGCATTATCTTGGAGGAAAAAAATCTGTTATTTACATAGCCCTGTATTAGCTTTGAGATACATGAGTAAAGTTAAAGAGACCCAATAACCTGACTTTGAACAACTTAAATCAATAGAAGCTACAGTAAATGCAGAAATTGGCACAAATACTTTTGGAAGCCATGCGTGAAATAGGCTTTAACTTTTTATTTTTATCCACGATAGAGGCAGTAGGATGAAGTACATAGTCTTTGCACACGTATCATGTTTTAACTCTTCCCCATGTTGTTACTTTATCCAATGGTGGAGGAGACAGGCCCCAGTAGTTAACTTCATCAAGAGCACAGCAGCTTTTATGCCAAAACCAAGGTGTAAACTTGGGTCTTCTGACTACAAATCCAGTGACCCTTCCACTTGACCATGCCTCTCTAGATTCACATTTGCCCAGCTGTTTACAGATGTAAATACTTTATGTATACAATTAACTCATCCTTGCCTCCAGGGCTTGTGGGAATTAAATGAGTTTATATGTAAATAAATGTTAGCTGCTATTATTGTTGTGCAGGACATTAGTCCAGGGGTCTGGAAATACCCTATTCCTGTACTGTATGGTGCTGTGTAGTTCTTTAGGGTAGGGTAAGGAAACCAACATTTATTGAATGCCAGAACTGTGCCAGGCAACCTAAATGGTTTTTTTGTGTCTTTGGTTTTTTGAAGTGGGGATAGTGATATCTGTGTACCAACTCTACTTCCTAAGCCTCTAGTAACTGGGAAATAAAGTATACATGTGAATGCATTTGCTACATTACAAGTGCCATGGTGATATTAATATAGTTAAGTACCAAATATGTGCAAAGCAGTAAAGAAAGGGGGTTATTAGGGTCCAGATAATTAAATATAGATTACAAAACAAACATTGATACTACTTTTTTTGTTGCTGCTTTTGTTAATACATTTAGGTAGCTGCGATGCGCCAACCAGGCTAAAGTTTGCATCCCTCAAACAGCTTTATATCCCTCAGAGTTATTTTCCAGTCGGTACTGTTGTGGAATATGAGTGTCGTCCAGGTTACAGAAGAGACCCTTCTCTATTAGCAAAACTAACTTGCCTTCAGAATTTAAAATGGTCCACAGCAGCTGAATTTTGTAAAAGTGAGTAAAATTTTTTAAAGTATTTTCAACCATCTGGTGTTTGGGGGAAACAGTATCCCTTTGTTCATTCATACTAGAACTCTGTGTGTATATATTATTATTTAGGATGTTTCTTGATAGGACCATGAGTGTCAATTTATTTTGAATTAGACAAACTAATTATTTATGTGGTAGGAATACTTATTCACTCAAAAATTTCACATTTAATTAGTTTGAGGTTACCTAAAATGAAACAAGTATATATTATAAATACGTTGCTTTTTCAAAACTTATTATAAAGAGAAATTAGAATTAAAGAAGTCTAAGGGTCAGGCGTGGTGGATCATGCCTGTAATCCCAGCACTTTGGGAGACAGAGGCAGGTGGACCACTTGAGGTAAGGAGATTGAGACTAGCCTGGCCAACATGATGAAATCCCGACTCTACTAAAAATACAAAAACTAGCTGGGCGTGGGGGTGCATGCCTGTAATCCCAGCTTCTTGGAAGGCTGAGGGAGGAGAATCCCTTGAACCTGGGAGGCAGAGGTTGCGGTGAGCTGAGATTATGTCACCACACTCCAGCCTGGGTAACAGAGCGAAACTCCATCTCAAAAAAAAAAAAAAAAAAAAAAAAATCTAAGGATAAGAACTATCAATGGTTCAGATGATGAATTTACATATATGTGCTTGATAATTTTTTCAAAATTTTTTCCCACGCTTCATTGAGGTATAATCAACAAATATTATTTAAGGTGTACAACATGATATTTTAATATATGTGCACATTGTGAAATGATAAACACAGTCAAGCTAATTAACATATCCACCACCTCACATAGTTACCTTCTTTGTGTGTATGCCTGATAATTTAATTAAAAAAAAATCAATTTGTATTCTATTCTAGAGAAATCATGCCCTAATCCTGGAGAAATACCAAATGGTCAGATCGATATATCAAATGGCATATTATTTGGTGCAACCATCTCCTTCTCATGTAACACAGGGTAAGTTTGGGCATACTAAAACCCTGTATTTAGGAAATGAGAAAACAAATTAGTACTTAAGATGAGATTGTTAGTTTCATGACTGGTATTCACAGCTACTAGCAACTAAAACAATCCTCCTCAAAGACCCTTCATCATGAGCTTATCACAGTTAAATTTACTAAAATGGGGCAAGAAAGGAAGATTTCTTATACCACCAAAATTCTCTAAATTCTGATTTCAGTAAATATGTGATTCAATATAAAATTTTAAATGTGATTAATAAAAAAATTTGAGATGATGTTACTTGCAGAAATAATTCTTCAAATGTTAAATACTAAACCAATCTTTAGTTGACCTAAATAATGAATTTGCATGAGTTTTTCTCTATGCAAACAAGCTGTTACAAAACAGTATGAGTTAAAGACATTCCTAGTGTGAAAATATTCTAACCTAAGTTCTTTGATAAGTTCTCTATATAGGAAAAAGCAACTCATTCATTGAGTACCATCAATGTCTCAGACACTGTTGAAAACTTTACATTTATTTTCTTATTTCATATCTGTAAATTAAATAATTCTATTTTACTGTGTGTATGTCCCTATTCTTTATAAAGTAAAAATATCAGTATCACTTGTCTCCTTTACGGAACAGATGTTGGTTAGGTCACGAACACAAAATCTGGGAAGTACGTTGAACCCTTGAAATACAAGTACATTCTATTATTCTATGAAGCCTATATTTAGAACTCAGAAGTATAAAATGTTCAGTCATCTCTGTCATTTAAAAATGTTTTAAACACTTTTATGCTTTCTAACATATTCCCCATGCAAATAAAAAATTTACATGTCTTACCCGTTTTTACTCTTTGGATGTCACCTTTTTAAACTTAATTTTTCTTTTCCTTTAAACTACTGTGTGGACTTTTGTCAACTACTGTTTTATTTTCACCTGCTGCTGTAGTAAATATTTCAAGATAATAACCTGAAGAATTTGAGGAAAGTCAAATACGTGTGAATGTAACAAACTCTTTTTTCTTCCCCTATTGCTTTAGGTACAAATTATTTGGCCCGACTTCTAGTTTATGTCTTGCTTCAGGAAGTGGAGTCCAGTGGAGTGACACGTTGCCAGAGTGCAGAGGTAAGAGTTAAAAATCTAAGCACTCAGGTTGTGAGGCTGAGTACTCAATGATAAATTAATTTCTGCCCCTTAAGAATTAGCACAGTGTGTATTTGTAGCAAACCCAGCTTTCAATATATGAGTGCTTTGCTAATTTTAATACCTTTTCTAGTGATGCTTCTTAATTTATTAGCTGTGGAGATAAACCATCAAGTTTTCTGAGTCCCAATTCCCAAACAATAGAATAAGGATTGAAAACAAACTTAGATTTGTATTGCACTTGGTCATTTATTGTCTAACCATTACTTCTAAAGTCAAGTATGATAGGTAAAAGATTTCCACCCCACAATTTTAATGTAAGAAAATACTGTCTATCAGAGGGTCTATAAGACTTGACCCCATATCCTAAAACAAGTGGCAATGGAAGGCCTTTAACCCAGGTCTCTTATTTCAGACCCAGCATTTTTCTAAAACCCAGTGTTGCCTACATGCTGCTTCTTAGGATTAAAATAATTAAGAGATAATTATCTAGAAGGGTTTTAAGGTGTGATATATTCTTATCATGAGAGAGATAAGCTTATACCATAAAGGAGAAATACTGTTTCTGTATTTGAGAATCTTCTCAAAGAAAGATATGGTGCAGCAATAATGTTATAAATGGGTATATATCCTGTCAAATTTATGTCAGTTAGAGAAACGTGTCTCTTGGAAATTGAAAGGAATAAAATACAGCAATATTTTAAAATGTAGGCTTGCTTTCTTTCCATCCTTCTCTTTCTCTACACACAATGTGCCCTCCTGCAAATGACTTCTGAAGGCCCTATTGTCAAAATTATTGATAAGTTAAAGTTTTTGTGTGTTACTAGGGGAAGAAAACTAGAGTAGATTTAGTGTAATTTATCAAACATTTATCGATTGACACTCTGGTAGGCAACGTGTAGGGTCAACTGATATGAAGACAAATAAAACGAAGCCGTGCCATCAAGGAGCCTGCCCCTGCCACACCCACCATGTGCCCTTCTTTTTGAGATGTCATACTACTACCACCAGTTTTTTCTCATTGTAGTTGTTTTTAAATTTTTCATCATTGCTACCCAGTAGCACCTTTCCCACTTTCCTTGTCCAGTAAGAGACACTGTAAATGATAGTAAATTAAAGATAGAAAACAAGGAGAAACTGGGCCGTATCTTTCGTTTGACCCAGGCAGCATGTCACAAAGTTCAGACAAACAGCCTCCCATCTGAAGCCAGTATTTGCACAAGCACCTGCTGTGTCATGAATTTGACAGCAATGCAAACCCACTTTATCTTCCTGCTTGCGCCATCTAGGTCTCAGCCTTGCTTCCCTATTTGGTGTCTTGAACTCCATGCTGAATATTCTGATGTTCATGTTTTCCTCCTTGACTCTTCTATCCTCTCTGACTCAGCAACCACTGACATCTGCATCCTGTAGGAAAGAGCCCCTGTTCTTAAGCAATCCCAGTGCCTTCAAATATCCCCATAAGGCCTTACTTCTTTTAGGATCATTTTGAATTTCCACATAACTTGTTTTGACCATACCAAAAAGATTGAATGGAAAGTAAATTCTTAAACAATGTAATGCTTCACCTCAAGTATGTAGCCCTAGCCTATAAACACATGAGGTTGCTTCAATGTCCATGCGTGAATATGGATATGAAGAAGGAAAGAACAATGGATACATCCACTAATTGTCTGTAGTTATACAGAAAACAGAGGTGATGCTAGTTTACCTGTGAATGGAGCCTCACTGTCAGAGGACCTGTTTGCTTATCTCTCTGCCAATGTTTTCTTTTTCAAAATTTTAGTTGACTGATGGTATCTGCTAACCTAGAATCAATCCCTGCTATATAATGACTATCATCCCAGACCCTTCTCTTTTATCTTAACTCCTCACATCTCATCCCTAAATCATTGTGCTTTACTTCCTCAATCTGTTTTTCAAACTTGTGTTTTGCCCTCCATCTGTATACTTATGGCATAGTTTATTATTCCTTCTGTGAACTATTGCAATCAGGGCCACCTCTAACATTTTCAGGGCCCAGGCAGGAATATAAATGGAGGTCACTGGCCTAAGACCCACCTTCTTTCAAATAGGCCTTCCTCTTTCCATGCTGTGTGGGTTTTCTGGTGCAAATAAGTGGACGACTCAGCCTAAATACCCAAGTCGTGTCCACCACATCCACCATAACTTGTATCCACCCTCCATTGTCTATTGGGTTAGAGGTGAAGTATATCAGCGGGATAGACCACACCCAAGAACGTGGACCAGTGGGAGGGACCCTCTCAGGCCCTGGAAAGGGTGTTGGCACAGGGAATTCTGGGTGCTAGTTCCTGGAGCATGTTCTGGAATGGAGGAGAAGTCGTAGGACAGGTTGTAATTGAGTGTATGCTCTCAGCCTATAGATATCCCACCAACAGGGGAGAGACGCATCCAGAGGCGGGCCAGAGCACAGCGTTTTAAAATATGGGGTCTGAGGCAGCAGTCTTAGTTGCCTGAGTTCAAGAGTGACACTGATAGCAATGGCCTCCTGCCTCCATTCTTTCACTCTATTAATGTTTCATCCATATTTTACCCAGAGTGATCTGAAACACAGATGTGACTTAGATGTCTGTTTCCTCCTTAGAGCTTATTCATATCTCCTATCACTTACAAAGCCCAAATTCCTTAGTATAGTGTACAAGACAGTCATGGTCTACCTACTGCTTGACACTCAGGTCTTGCCCTCATGTTTTATGCCTTATACATGCAAACTGCTGTGGTTTCCATGTACCTCTTTTTTTTCTTTTCTTTTTTTTTTTAAATTGAGACAGGGTCTCATTCTGTTACCCAGGCTGAAGTGCAGTGGTGTGATCACAGCTTACTGCAGCCTCAATCTCCTTGGCCCAAGTGATCCTCCCACCTCAGCCCCCCTTGTATCTGGGACTATAGGTGCACACCACTATGCCCAGCTAATTTGTGTATTTGTTGCATAGACAGGGCTTCCTCATGTTGCCTAGGCTGGTCTCGAACTCCTGGGCTCCAGCAGTCTGCCCACCTCAGCCTCCCAAAGTGCTGGGATTACAGGTGTGAACCACCATGCCCCGCTGCCCCTTCTTTACTTAGCTATATTTTCCTAAGAGTTAGTTCTCTAGCCCATCAGGGAGATTCCCAGGCTGACTACTTCTATGATGACCCTTGCAATTTTTATTAAAATCATCTCTGAATCTTTTTTCCCCACTACCTTTTAAGACATACGAGCTATATCTTGTTCAGCTTTACACTTCCAGTTATAGAAAAATGCCTGGCATGTGTTAGGCACTTAGAAAATGTTTGAACTGAACCAATGGTATGTGTGTCTCTGCATATTCTAAGTTGGTGTAAATCAGAACAGCTTGTTCTTGCTGCTTGTTTTGATCCAAGACTGAAGAGTGATTGATAAATGTGCTAAGTATTTTCTGTGTTCTTAAGTATGCTTCGTGTAACATAATTTGACATACATACATATTAAATTGCCTTCCATTCTTAGAAAAAAAGACAACAACATCATGCCTTTGGAGTATGTGGAACCATTGAATTTTTTCTCTAGGCAATTGCCAGAGAGTGGTCCCTTTTTACATAATAACTAAAAAAACCTCTGCTTGTATTTATTTTATAAGTTCAACTGCTCAGTAAGATTGTTTTGAATGAAGTCTCTGTGAGTCAGTATGTGCTAAAAATGTTTACTCTGGAAGTCAAAATGTAATCCTGACATTTAAGATCTCTGCTCTATCTAAAACGATCTGTACTTAGTTCTTAAACATGCTGCTTGAATTTTCAGCTCCTTGCATTTGCTATCATTTCCTTCTTAGAGTGAAGAGTAATGCTCTCTCCTCTGTTCTCTCTCAAAAGCATGGTACATATTAGGTTTAAACTGAAGTTCTATTTCCCTGCCCAAGTCTTCTCTGACTGTACTGCTTTCATCCCTAAACTCCTGCAGCATTCACTTTTCCTAGCACCATTTTGATATGCACAAATCTTATTATAATTTTTCCTTTACATACATGTTCTGAATCTTATTATTTTTATGAATTAGTTTCAAGGTTAGCATTTGTCTTCTACACCATTTGCATTCAAAGCTCTAGTATACTACCAATTACTTAATAGGCATTTATAAGTGTCTCTTGTTGATAATGCTGAATTTAGAAAAATGATATTTTGATTTCTTTAAAATATAATCTTTAACATGTTTTGGTCTTATTTGTAAAAATATTTTACCAGTTTTATTTATTTAAAAGATGTTGGAATTGTTTTTTAAGAAATTTATTGTCCAGCACCACCACAAATTGACAATGGAATAATTCAAGGGCAACGTGAACATTATGGATATAGACAGTCTATAACGTATTTATGTAATAGAGGATTCACCATGATTGGAGAGCACTCTATTTATTGTACTGTGAATGGCGATGAAGGAGAGTGGAGTGGCCCACCACCTGCATGTAGAGGTAATCACTTTGGATAGTTATATTTTTGCTTTATTCTTACCCTTAAGTCTATATGTGAGTTGCAGACATTCTATGAACCCCCTAAGAAAAAAATGTAAAATGTTTACGTAAACATGTTTGTATTTTTCTGTGGGACACAATATTTCTAAAGCTTCTCAGAAGGGTCTATGGGTTGTATACACACACATACACACACACAAACATTATGATGTGTATATATAAAATAGGCCTCATATTTTTGGTGAATTTGCTTAAATTTGCTGTTTTATACCATGTTGCTTTCAGTAAGTTAATACAGGTACTTTGTTTATACAAAGAGGATATAAAGTGGTTTATTGGCGGGAGAATCTTAGATTGAAGTCTCTAGATAGTCACCATGCATGTTGCAACAACTGAGAAACTCTTGCCATCTGTTGACTTCCCTGAATTAACATTCAATTCTTTTCTGCCTCCAGAATTTCTGTTATTATCCATTCTCCTTCATCCTTCTAGACTTTTTTCTTTCAATGTCTTTTTATACCCAGAAGTTACTCTCAGAATCCTTAGAACTGCTCTTTAAATATATTTTAAAAGAAATATTTAGAAGATCAGTGAAGCTGAACTGAACATTGCCTAGTATCAATAGATGGCATTTGTTTAAGTAGTGGTGAATACCAACATGACTCAAGCATTTGAGTATTTACTTTTATAATTAAAATTGAAATTGTATTAGTATGAATTTTTAAAATTCCTTATTAAAAATATTTTTATTATAAGTATTATACATAGACATAATGACATAATATTAAAGCCATGGAGATGAGTACAAAATGGGAAGTGAAAGCCTCTTCTCTATCACTAGTCCTACTCTGAGAGGTAACCATTTTTACAAATTCTTTTGTTTTATTCTAGAATATAAATAAACATACAAATATTTTTTATTTATTATACCAATGGTGTGGGTATTCATTTATCTCACCAGTCCTCTATTGATGGCAATTTAGGTTTCTTGTTCTAGTTTGTTTTTTTAATGAACTATTATTACAAATGATGCTATAATGAATATTCTTGTACATCTGTCACTGCACATGTATGCAAGTACATTTGTATAATAAATTCCATGCAGTATAATTATTTGTAACAAAGGTATGTGAATTACATTTTTCATACCCATTACTAACGTTGCTTTTTGAAAGACTGCACCAATTTAATCTCCCACTAATATTACATCATTGTAGTGTTTGCACCTTTAATGATAATGATTGTTAGGGAGATTTGACAATGTAAATGGTAAAAATTTTTATTATTTGAATTCATTTAGTTATGAAGTTTAGTGTGTGCTTTTTTAATTTGGCCATTTGATCCAGTTCATATTAATTTTTCCAAGTTTTATTAAATGATCAGTTATTTAGAGCTTAAAAACCATATGGAAGTACCCAAGTAGGTCATGGCAGGCTAATACTTCCATTAAAACAACTATAAAATCTGAATAGATTACCAAAAATTTTTATTTTTTAAGGCATAACGTATAGCTGTGGAAATAATAAGGTCTGAATGAACTAAAATTCCTGGGGGCGGGTGGTGAAGGCAACCCATTCTGACGTAAGCCAGTTTTCCCTAGGGACATTTGCTGATTCTGAACCTGGACTAAGGATTCACCTTGACCCAGACAAAAGACTACTTCCAGGAAAGAGAAATCAGCAAAGCTTTAATGGTTATGGAGCGATAGGGTAATTCACTGGAAATTGAGGCCCTCAAATGCAGAACCAGTCTTTCCTAAAGGCCATTTGCTAATTTTGGGGCTGCATGTGAGGCTGGGAAGCTTGACCCAGAGCTTCAAAAGTACAAAATGAAATCTTTCAGAACCTGATGGTATTTGGATGGCATATACCCACCAGAGGAACAGGCTTTTATCTAGCATACCACAGGTCTCCCCTTAGCACATCTGTGCTCATTTTGAAACTGTGTAGGGAAGAACATTAGATGGCTGGGAGAACTCTGAAAGACAGACCTGGATCTCCTGCCATCTTCCAAAGGTGAAACAACAAAAATCTGCCAGGCTTTCAATCAGAAGCCCAGAAGGGCCCCTCCCAAGGAACAGAGGCAAGAGCAGAAGTAGATGGAGTCTTACCAAAACTGAAACCCAGCTCAATTCCTAATAGGTTGAAGATATGATTACCTCAATGCAGTCTGCTTATCAGAAAGGCATATCGTATCATCCGGATGTTTTATATACAATGTTTGGCATACAACAAAAGACTGTTAGATATGGAAGGAAGCAAGAAAATATGACCAAATCAAGAGAAAACAAAACCAAATAAAGAATATCCAGATAATTGAGTTAGCAAATGAAGACCTTAAAATAACTGATAAACAAGTTTAAGATGATAAAAGAGAACTTCAACTGGAATCTGTAAAAATGGAGTAAAATGAATATTCTACAACTAGAAAATATCTGAAATTAAGAACACAATAGATAGGTTTAGCTATTCAGATAGAGCAGGAAACAGTATTAGGAACTGAAATATCAGTTAAAAATACCCAAACTGATGCACAAAGAGAAAAAGCAAAAACAAACAAAAACTTCAAAGAACCAGCAGTAAAACTGATCACCGCTCAGCAAAAAAATGATGCAGGCCAAAGGACAATAAGAAGAAATCTTTAAAATTACTTTAAAAACTTTAAAACTTCTTTAAAAAACAGTAAGAAAATTACCGTTCACCTAGAATTCTATACCCAACTAATACAACATTCAAAACCGAATATAGAGATGTATTCAAAATAGAGACGTATTCAGACAAAAACCAAGGAAACTTTGCACTAGCAGACCAAACATGCACAGAATGAGAAACTAAAGGAAATTCTTCAAGTAGAATGAAAATAATCCCAGGTAAAACATGAAAATACAAGAGGAAATGAACACTAACAAGGATAAATGAATACTGAGTTTACAAACAGTGAATGTAATGTCCTGTGGGGTCTGAATTATACATAGAGTACAAATGCACAATAACAATGCAAAAGGTAGAAAGAGGTAAATTCATGTGAAGGTTACACAGTTCTAGCAGTACTGAAAAGGTGGTAAAAGTGATAGTTTGCATAACTGACTTATAGTCTAATAAATATTGTGATCTCTAGGGTTGCTACAAATGAATGACAGAAGAATACATAAATCACAAGCTAATAAAAGAATAATAATGGATATTTAATCCAAAAGAGAACAAGAGAGAGAGAAGCAGAAAGGAACACAGAATAGATGGGAGAAATAGAAAACTAATACGGTCATTGATATAGACCCAAGTATGTCAATAATTACATTAAGTGCAATTTGACCAAGATTGTCAGACTTAAAAAAGATTTTTAAAAAACCTAGTTCTTTACTATTTATAAGAGACACAGTTTAATCAAAAGAACACAGAATAGTTGGAAGGATGGAAAAATATACCATGCAAACATTAACCCTTCAAAATAAGCTGACACAGTTATATTAATATCAATGTATATTTTAAGATGAAACAGTTCATAATGATAAGGAGGCCAACTCAACAGTAATATATCACAATCTGGAATCTATATGTACTTGATAAAATAGCTTCAATATATATGTAGCAAAAATGGACAGAAAATACACACTCATAGTTGGAAAATTCCATACCTATCTCAATAGCTAATAGGACAAACAACCAAAAATCAGTGAGACTAAAGAGCTGAGCAACAATTAAACATATATACATATGAGATATTAAACATATATACATATGAGATACATAGGGCCGATGACAAGTGTTTTTTTTCAACTGCACATGGGATATTTACCAAAATTGACCCTATGCTGGGCTCTAAACTACAATACATTGCAAAAGATTGAAGTTATTCAGAGCATACCTTCTAGCCACAGTGGAATTAAACTAGATGTTAGTAACAAAAAGATAATAACTAAAAAATTAACTTCTAGGAAATTTAAACTCTAAGGTAGTGTATACATTCTGTGGATCAAAACAGAACTAACTTGATAGAACAAATAATAATTTAGAATAATTTTTATATAGAAGGGTCTTAGAATGAAAAGTTCATAAAAAAAAACTTTACTTATCTTAATAATGATTATCATTGAGTGCCTACTAAATGCTGTGTTACTTGCTCGGCGTTTTGCTCAATTTATCCCTTATAGCAGCCTGTGAGATAGGTTAGGAGACAGAAAAAAAGACCGATGCCGTCTGAGTTCCTAGGGCATCCCGTGTGTGATGGGGCTGGCAACAGTCATCCTGGATGATGTAATCTCTTGCTTCGGGGACAGACACTGTGAAATAGCTTACTCAATTATTTCCCTTAATCCTTACTCAATAATTACTCAATCTGTTCTGCTTTTATCCTCATTTTACAGATGAGGAAACTATAGCTTAGAAGGGTTAGGGACTTGCTAGAGGTCACTACTACATGGTGAAATCAGGCTTCGGCACTACCCAATGCTGCCTCAACAGGAACTTTGTATAAGTGACCCAGTGGCAGATGGGCTCTGAAGACCCAAAAAGTTGCTCTGCTGTTAGATTTATGCCTCTCAGAATATGTTCTTACGAAAGTTTCACGTGACTTGTTATCTAGTCTGAAATCTAAAGAGGAACTAGTGTATGGAAAGTTGGTAACCAGCACAAGAGAATTAAAAGGAGCTATTTTTACTCAGACTTAAGTATCACTTTAAACAAGAAGTGAAACAAAACAAGTTCTCAAGCTCATTAAGGTTAAGTGATAGAAAAGACTGTGATTGTCTCTGTTGGCTTAGTTGTTCTAGAACAACATCCTGTTGTTCTTTAGTATTAGCACAGAAGATAATTTGGGAGAGAAAATAGAGATGTGCCACAGAATAAGATCACTAGTGACTCTAACTTTGATTTATTTCACAAAAAGCAGCTTAAGCACCTCAGTATACTTTGGTATATGTCTTCTTTAGTCACCCGTAGGTATGATTTATATCAAAGCAAGAGCGACTTAGAACTTCAGCTCCTTGAGAAATACACAATAAGATTTGGTTTCCTGAAAGTCATACCTAGTTGTTTGTGGGAGAGAGAGAGGATAGCCACAGAGCAAGCAATGACTAAGAATCTTAACATGGTCAGCAATATTCAGTTAACTTGTTTCTTAACCTTTCCTTTCACAGCAAACTCTCTAGTTTCCAAGGCCCCACCAACAGTTCAGAAACCTACCACAGTAAATGTCCGAACTACAGAAGTCTCACCAACTTCTCAGAAAACCACCACACCAAATGCTCAAGGTACAGAAACTCCATCAATTCTTCAAAAACACACCACAGAAAATGTTTCAGCTACAAGAACCCCACCAACTCCTCAGAAACCCACCACAGTAAATGTCCCAGCTACAATAGTCACACCAACACCTCAGAAACCCACCACAATAAATGTTCCAGCTACAGGAGTTTCATCAGTACCTCAAAAATACACCACAGTAAATGTTGCAGCTGCAGGAGTCTCATCAACACCTCAAAGTCATACCACAGTAAATGTTTCAGCTACAGGAGTCCCATCAACACCTCAAAAAAACACCACTGTAAATGTTTCAGGTATAGAAGTTTCACCAACTCCTCAGAAACCCACCACAGTAAATGTTTCAGCCACCAAAGCCCCAGCAGCAGCTCAGACATCTTTCATATCAAAAACCCTATCTACAAAGACCCCTCCTGCAGCTCAGAATCCCACAATGACAAATTCTGCTACACAGGCCACACTAACAGCCCAAAGATTCACCACAGTAAAAGTTGCATTTACGCAGAGTCTTCTAGCAACACGAAAGTCCACCAATGTACATTCCCCAATGACTAATGGTCTCAAGAGTACACAAAGATTCCCTTCTGATCATATTACAGCAACACGGAGTACACCTGCTTCCAGGACAACCAAGCATTTTCATAAAACAACCCCAGATAAAGAAAGTGGAACCAATTCAGGTCAGTTGACACTGTTCAGGTTTACTGAGTATGGATCTAATGTGCTATGGTGGAAATAGGAACTTGACCAAGATTGCAGGATTAAATGGTCTCTAATTTATTGTAGCCAGGGTTTTTTCGTACTAATACTTTTTACTTTATTTGGAAGCAGACTTGGATTATACTAGGGCAAATCTTTAAAAAAAGAAACATTTACAATAATAGAGAAAAAGACTGTGGCCCCATAAAAAAAAATGCTAAATTAAAATTGGTAAAAAAAGAAATTCTGTTTTCTGTAGTAGTTTTAGGGAGTCAACGAATTCTTCAAGACCCCTTCAAAGAACCAAATATATACTGTCTTTAAGGTTGAGTCCTGGGTCTGGTTCATTGATAGAGACCCATCCCTCAAAGCTTGCTAAGGAATCTTTCCAGATTCCCTAGAGTTGCAGATTTGGTAAAGCATCTCAATAGTGTTGTCTAAGTAATTGAAAATACAGAGATCCTTTCAAATAATTCATATTACTACAAGCTCTATAAACGATAGGTTCTCAGTAGCACCAAGTAATTGTGTTTTATCTGTATAGTTTTACCCATTATGACCCTATTTTCAAAATGATTTTATGTATTTCATAATTGTTACCTTGAAGCCTATTTTGCCAGCACCTGGATATTTTTAAGAATTTAAACATTATGGATGTTATTGTTAAAGTTCCTTAATACATTTCGCCAGCCCATTTTTCTCCCTCTAAGGCAATTACTGCCCTGAAACTGATGTGCTGACTTCCTGTCTGTTTTCATTCTTATATTCCATGTATGTTTCCATAAGTAGTACATAATAATGTTTCATATTTTTAAAATAATTTACAGAAACTGTATATGTTTCATTGCCTTTTAGCACTCAGCATTGGTTTTGTGGCTTACATTGATTAATTTAGATTTACTTCACTAAGTTTAATTCTTTATGAGGTTTTTTACTTCTTTACAATTTTATGATATCTCTTGGTCTAAAATTTCTAGGTTGAATACGTCCAGTTTTTAATAGGGCAAGGCAAAGAGAAATAAGTGTCACTTATAAATTTGTTACAGAACTAACTTTATTGACATTTTCTTCTGTAAAAAGTATAAGATAATTTAACAAATTTAAACTGAACCTAATGAGTCAATAATAATATCAATATTTGGGATCAAATTTTACTCTTAGGTACAATTAATTTACTCTTTCAGGACCCAATATAAAATGCCATATTTAACTCTTTTTAATTGAAAAAAAAAATGTAGCCACCACTTACTGAGTATATACTGTAGGGATATGTTCCATTCACCTTCTATTTGATGCCACTCATCTGTACCACAACCTTGCAAAGTATCTTTAGATTGATTTTATCGATGAGGAATTAGAGGCTTAGAGATTAATTCATACAGTTCATATACAGTGCACAGTTGAATCCTGCACTTTTTCTGCTGAGTAATATTGCTTGTTCTAAATGACACTCTGAGTCAATGTGTTCACCTCATTTAGGAGAGCAGCTTATTTATTGTTTTATTTTTGCTTATCTGAAAGTAAATTTATTTTTGCAATGTCTCATCCGTAATCATTGAAAAATATAAACAATAAGGTGATGTGGTAGTTTTGAGTTTTGATATAGTCTGTTGAAAGGGACTTAGTCTTCTTATAGTTTCTTGATAGTATGATTGGATCAGCAATTATTTGCTGTTTACGTTTTCAAACATGTTTCTAGCCCTCAAGTCTTATAATCCAATTTAAATGGCGTTTGTTTTGGTGGTCAATAATTCTTTATCATAATTTGTATTTATAGTGTTGATTCTGTTGAACAGATATAAACAGTAATGTTTACATTCTCTTGATTAAGTTAATAATGTGTAATTGTTTTTATAAATTTTTAATTATGGAAATTTGAGTTGCTTTTGAGTTTTGTGATGTAGTTTATTGATAGTATATGAAATTGCTAGCAAATCAATGACTTTAACAAATTTTTGTTTTTAATCCTTTTTTTTCCCTTCGTCTGTAGGTACTACCCATCTTCTATCTGGTAAGTTTGGCTCTCAGGCAGTTAAAAGAAATTGTTTTCACTGTGGGATATACAATCCATATTCCTGGGAGATAATACTGTCTTCTTGTTTTTTAAAAAAATTATCCTACAATTTATTTTAAAACTTTTTAGTATGGAAAACTTTAAACATCACTCAAATAGGGAAAATAGTACAGTGAATCCTCATATACTCTCTTGGATTCAGCAATTTTCCACTCATGGATACCCACGTTCCCCACACCCCCTAGATTATTTGGAAAATAATACCAGACATCGTATCATTTCCTTCATAAACATTTCACTAAGTAACCTTTATAAAAACATAACCACATAGCATACTAAAAAATCCAGTAATTCCTTAATATCAGCAAATATTTAGTCAGTATCCAAACTTCCCTGATTATCTTACAATTTTTTAATTGAAACATAGTATTTTATATATTTATGAGGTAAATGTGATATTTTGTTAGATGCATGGACTGTGTAATTCTCAATTTGGTATTTGGGGTATTCATCACTTTGAGTATTATTTTTGTGTGTTGGAAACATTTTAAGTCCTTTCTTCTAGTGACTATTAAAAATATATCACACATTATTGCTAACTATGCTTACCCTACTCTGCTATTGAATATTAGAACATAAACCTTCTATCTAATTGTATGTTTATACCCATTGGCCAAAGTCTCTTCATCCTCCCTCCTACTCACACACTTTTCCCAGCCTCTGTTATCTAACATTCTATTCTCTGCCTCCATGAGAACTTTTTTAGGTCTCACATGTGAGTGAGAGCATGTGATATTTGTCTTTTTTGCTTGGCTCATTTCATTTAATATAATGGCCTCTAGTTCCATTCATGTTGCTGCAAATGACATGATTTTATTCTTTTTATGGCTGAATGTATTTCATTCTATATATGCTAGATTTGTTTTTATTTACTTATTTATTTATTTTGAGACAGGGTCTCATCCTGTCACCCAGGCTGGTATGCGGTGGTGTAATCATAGCTCACTGCAGTCTCGAACTCCTGGGCTCAAGCGATCCTTCCACTTCAGCCTCCCAAGTAGCTGGTACTACAGGTGTGTGCCACGACACCTGGCTAAGTTTTTGAAATTTATTTTTTGTAGAGACAGGATTTCCCTATGTTGCCCAGGCTGGTTTCGAACTCCTGGCCGTAAGCGATTCTTCCGGCCTCCCAAAACATTGCGATTATAAGTGTGAGCCACTGCACCTGGCCCCACGTTTTCTTTATCCATTTGTACATTGATGGACACTTAAGATGATTCCATATCTTTGCTATTGTGAATAGTGCTTCAATAAATATGTGAATGCACATATCTTTTTGATACGTTGGTTTATTTTTCTTTGGATAAATACCCAGTAGTATAATTGCTAGATCATAAGATAGTTCTATTTTTTGTGTTTTCAGGAACCTCCATATTGTATTCCACAGTGGCTGTACAAATTTACATTCTCACCAACAGTATATAAGATTTCCTTTTCTTCACATCCTCACCAGCATCTGTTATTTTTTGTCTAAAAATGGTCATTCTAACTGAGGGTAAGAACTGACATCTCATTGTGGTCTTGATTTGCATTTCCATGATGATTAGTGATGAGCAGTTTTTCATATACCTGCTGGCCATTTATATGTTGTCTTTTGAGAAATGTCTGTTCATGTCTTTTGCCTACTTTTTAGTGTGATTGTTTTTTGCTAGTAAGTTGAGTTCCTTGTATATTCTGGATATTAGTACCTTTACAGATGAATAGTTTATAGATATTTTCTTCCATTCAACAGGTTGTCTCTTCACTCTGTTGATTGTTTCCTTTGCTGTACACAAGCTTTTTAGTTTAATATAGTCCTATTTATCTATTTTTGTTTTTATTGTCTATGCTTTTGAGGTCTTAGCCATTAAACCTTTGCCTAATGTCCTTTAGAGTCTTCCTGATGTTTTTTTCTAGTAATTTTATAGTTGTGGGTCTTATGTTTAAGTTTTTAATACATTTTGATTTGATTCTTGAACATGGTAAAGAGCAGAGGTCCAGTTTCATTCTTCTGCATTTGGATATCCAATTTTCCCAGCACTATTTATTGAAGAAGGTATCCTTTTCCCAACGTATGTTCTTGGCACCTTTGTAAAAAATCAGTTAGCTATAAATATGTGGATTTATTTCTGGGTTCTCTGTTCTGTTCCATTATTCTGTATGCCTGTTTTTATACCAATACCATGCTGTTTTTGGTTACTATAACCTTATATTTTGAAGTCAGCTGCCAGCTTTGTTTTTGCTTGGGTTTTGTTAGCTCTTTGGACTCTTCTTTGGTTCCACAATCATTTTAGGACTTTTTTTTTTTTTTTTTTCTATTTCTGTGAAAAATGGCATTGGTATCTTGATAGGGTTGTATTAAATCTTTAGAATGCTTTGGGTGGTATAGTCATTTTAACATTTCCTCTAGGTTTTCCGGTTTGTCAATGTATACTTGTTTATAATAGTCTCTGATATTTTGTATTTCTGTGATATCAGTTGTAATGTCTCTTTTTTCATTTCTGGTTTTATTTGGGGCTTCTCTCTTTTTTTTCTTGGTTAGTCCAGCAAGTAGTTTATCAGTGTTGTTTATCTTCTCAAAAAAACAAGTTTTCACTGTATTATTTTTTAGTCTCTATTTTGTTTAGCTCTGGTCTGATTTTTCTTATTTCTTTCCTTCTGCTAATTTTGAGGTTGGTTTGTTCTTCCTTCTCTAGTTCCTTAAGATGCATTGTTAGATTGTTTATTTGAAATCTTTCTACTTTTTTGTTGTAATCATTTGTTGCTGTAAACTTCCCTGATAGCACTGCTTTTGCTGTGTCTGATAGGTTTTGCTACACTGTTTCCATTACTATTTTTTCAAGAAATTTTTTTTTATTTCATCCTTACTTTCTCCCTTGACCTAATGGTCATTCAGAAGCCTGTTGTTTAATTTCCGTTTATTTGTACGGTTTCCAAAGTTCCTGTTTTATTTTCTAGTTTAATTCCATTATGGTTTGAGAAGATACTTGATACAATTTTGACTTTTTCAAATTTATTGAGACTTGTTTGGTATCCTAACATATGTTCTATTCTGGAGATTGTTTCATGTGCCATTGAGAAAATTCTGTGGCTATTGGGTGAACTCTTCTGTTAGTGTCTGTTAGGTCCATTTGGTCTAAAGTGCAATTTAAATCCAATGTTTCTTTGTTAATTATTTGTCCAGATAAGCTAATGCTGACGGTGGGATGTTGAAGTTCTTCACAATTATTTTATTGGAGTCTATCCCTTTAGATCGGTCGATATTTGCTTTATATGTTTGGGTGCTCCAGGATTGGGTGCATACATGTTTAGAACTGTTATATCCTCTTGTTGAATTGATCTCTTTGTCAATTATGTAATGACCTTCTTTGTCTGTTTCTACTGTTTTTTTTCCTAAAGTCTGTTTTATCTGATACAAGTACAACTACTCCTGTTTGTTTTTGGTTTGTGTTAGCATGGAGTATCTTTTTCCATCTCTTTACTTTCAGTCACAATGTGTTTTCACAGATGAGATGAATTTCTTGAAAGAAACATGTAGTTGGGTTGTGTTTTGCATCCATTCAACCAGTATACATCTTTTAAGAGGAAAATTTAATCTGTTTACATTCAGGGTTATTGATATGTGAGGGATTATTCCCATCATCTTATTAATTGATTTGTGGTTGTTTTGTTCCTTTTGTTCTCTCTTATTATTGTGATATAGAGTTTTTCTTTCATAACATTTTAGTCTTTTCTTTGTGTTTTTGCTCTACCAGTGGTTTTTAAAATTTCTGTGTGTTTTCATGATTGTAGATATCATTCTTTCTCTTCTGGATATAGCACTCCCTTAAGCATTTCTTTTAAGCCATCTCATGGTGATGGATTCCATCAGCTTTCTTTTGTCTGGGAAAGACATTGTTGCTCCTTTGTTTATGAAGGATAATTTTCCTAATCCTTGGCTGGTAGTCTTTTTCTTTCAGCTCTTTGAGTGTATCATCCCGTTCTCTCCTGGCCTGTAAGGTTTCTGCCAAGAAATCCATTGTTAGTCTGATGGGGTTCCTTTATAGGTGACTAGATGCTTTTCCCTTGCTGTTTTTAGAACTCTTTGTCTTTGACTTTTGACAGTTTGACTATAATTTGCCATGGAGAAAACCTTTTTTTTTTTTTCTTTTGAGACAGAGTCTCATTCTGTCACTCAGCCTGGAGTACAGTGGCGCAATCTCAGCTCACTGCAACCTCTGCCTCCCAAGTTCAAGCGATTCTCGCACCTCAGCCTCCCGAGTAGTAGCTGGGATTAGAGGTGTGTGTTACCTTGCCTGGCTAATTTTGTATTTTTAATAGAAACAGGGTTTCACCATGTTAGCCAGTCTGGTCTCGAATCCTGACCTCAGGTGATCCGCCTGCCTCAGCCTCCAAAGTGCTGGGATTACAGGCATGAGCCACCGTGCTGGGCCAGAGAAGACCTTTTTAAATTGTATCTACTTGGTGATCTCTGAGCCTCCTGTGTCAGGATGTCTAAATTTCTTGTTAGACTTGAGAAATTTTCCTCTGTCGTTTTAGTAATAGATTTTCTAATCCTTTCATTTTCTCTTCACCTTCTGAGAGTCCTAAAATTTGAATAGTTGGGCACTTTAGGGTATCCCATATGTCATGTAAACTTTGCACATTTTTAAAGTATTTTTTCCTTATTCTTATCTGACTGTGTTATTTCAAAAGACCTGTCTTCAAGTTCTGAGATTCTTTCTTCTGCTTGATCTAGCCTATTATTGATGCTTTCAAGTATATTATATATTTAATATTTCATTAAGTATATTATGTATTTCATCAGTCAATTCTTTATTTCCGGAAGTTGTTTGGTTCTTTTATATGTATATTTTTTGGTAAACATCTCATTAATATCCTGAATTGTTTTTCTGATTTCTTTGTATTTTTTTTTAAACAAATTTTAAAATTTGTATCTCACCTCCCTGAGCTTTTTT